GGACTGTCTGTCTCTTCCATAGGCTCCGCAGCCCATCAGCCCCAGGGTCCTGCTGCTGGACCGGGGCTCTGCAGCTGCCCCCAGCTGTGAAGTTGCCTGGGGCAGTGAGGTTGCCAACTCTCCTGGACTGCACAGACTGGACGGCCATTTGCACCAGTCCAAGAGAGCTGGCAACCCAATCTCAACAGCTCTAAAAGGAAGGGGGGTGCAGCTCAGCACCACTACCCCCAAAATAGTTCCAGAACCTCTGCTTAGCTCCATAAAAATGAAATCCCAAGACAGGAGTTTGAGGCACCTCACAGACACTACAGACACAGTGTTTATAGCCCTGCAAGAGTTCATAGCATCATAGAACACTAGAACTGGAAGGCACCTTGAGAGATCAACAAGTCCAGTCCCCTGCCCTCATGGCAGGACCAAGCACCATCTAGATCAATGTTTCTGACAGTGTTCCATGAAATCTCTTTCAGAAACACATTAACTGGCCGCCCTGGTTTGTTTATTTACTGGTGCCGCGGCCACGGAGCCTCGTGGCTTCCATTGGCTCCGTTTCATCCTTTGCAGCCAAGGGGAGCTGTGGGAAGCAGTGGCCTGGCCCACGCCACTTCCCATGGCTCCCCTTGGCTGCAAAGGACAAAATGGAGCCAACAGGAGCTGCGAGTCTTCATGGCCACAGTGCCAGTAAATAAACAAACCGGGGTGGCCAGTTAAAGTGTTTTTGAAAGGGATTTTGCAGAACACTTCCAGAAACACTGCTCCAGATCAACCCTGACAGGTGTCTGTCTAATCTGCTCTTAAATATCTCCAGAGTTGGAGATTTCACAACCTCCCTAGGCAATTTATTCCAGCGTGTTACCACCCTGACAATTAGGAAGTTTTTCTTCATGTGCAACCTAAATCTCCCGTGCCACAGTTTAAGCCCATTGCTGCTTGTCCCATTATCAGAAGCCAAGGAGAACACTTTTCCCCCCTCCTTTTGACACTATCATGTCCTCTCAGTCTTCTCTTTTCCAAACTAAACAAGCCCAATTCCTTCAGCCTTCCCTCATTGCTCATGTTTTCTAGACCTTTAATCATTTTTGTTGCTCTTCTCTGGACCTTTCTCAACTTCTTTGCATCTTTCTTGAAATATGGTACCCAGAACTGGACACAGTACTTCCGCTGAGGCCTAATCAGTGCAAAACTGCAGTTACTGCAATAGAGGATGATTCAGTGGTTAGATGAGAACTCACAGATACTTTTGTCTTAACCATTTTCAGCAGTGGAAGCTGTAAGGAATGATGATGATTTCCTGGGCAAATAGTTTTCAGCTACATAAGTGCCAGCCTTTCCCAGAAGGTGTCACTTTAGGGCAGGGATGGGTAACCTAAGGCCCGGGGGCCATATGTGGCCCCCGAACTTGCCTGTATCCAGCCCCCACTACCATTGGGGAGCCTATGCTGGTGCTCCAGCCCCCCCCTCCCCATTGCCCCACTGTGGGGCTAGAGCACACTAAATCTAATAGTTTGCCCACCCGGGCTCTGTTGTGCGAGGGGAACATGGGAGTGTCTTTCTCCTCCTCAGTCAGGGGCCACCTTAGTGAAGGTTTGAGGGTTTTGGGTTTTTTGCTTCTCACTTGTGTGTGGCCCCCAATTGATTTTTCTGTGGGTCAGCGGCCCTGGACCCAAAAAAAGGTTCCCAGGCCTTGCTTTAGGCAATAGTCAAGGAGAGGACTGGGTGTGGGGAGCCGTCAACACTGGCTTCCAGGGAATTCAGGGTTACAAGCGTGGCAAGCTTGGAAAGCAGGCCTCACAGCAGGAAACGGCGCAGGATGCTGCCTTTGGTGGAGCCTCCAACAACTCAAAGCACCAGTCTGCACAGCAAGAATGGCTCCAGGGGTGGGAATATGAACTATGCAGAAAGGTTTTCCCTCCGAGTCGCCTTTCCCAAAAGGACAATGGAAGCCAGCCGTCTTTTTGTTCTCGGTAATCGCTCTCCCCATATTTCAAAGACATTACGTAACTGAACCAGTGTAAAGTGATTACGTCCAACCCTGTCAATAAATCATTAACGCTGCCGAACGCGATCAGCACAACTATTTGTGTCACAGCTGTCTTGTTCACTTTAAAATCAAAGCTTGCAAATGAAATATTCATTTAACTGTAAAATATTAATGCAGCCGCACTGTTTCTATAACAAATATTAATTTCTTATGGCACTTCCAGGCAAAGAATAAGTTATAAACTTTGGCTCCCACAGGAATCCCTTCGGCTCCCCCTCACCCAGCTTTTTTCCTCCCTTTTGCATTATCCTGTTTTTAGCCCAGAGACGGGATCTTTTCAAGGAAGGAGCTTGCAGAAGGAGCAGAAAGGCAGGTCATTTATTTGAAAGCATACCCCTGACCACACCCCACTAAACCACCAGAATATCAAAGGCTACCGTTCTATCTCCTGCCTGCAGAATGGGTTATTTAAACATTCAGCAATTCCTGTTGGAAAAGAACAGTGAACGCCTCAGCCACCCAGAGCCCATTACAGATATTAAACTTAGCAAATCATCAAGGCGGGGCAAGATTTAAAGTCCTTCAATGCGCATGCCTGGTCTCAGCAGAAGTGGAATCGGTTTGAGAACAAGCTTTTGCAGCCTTAATGCCTGGGATCCGCAGTACGCCTTTACCCTGGAAAAGAAGCAGGTGACAAGGATAGAATCATTTTCTTTTGCATGCTTCTTTCTTCCTTTAGTTTTTAAGATACTGAATGACAGTGAAGGTGGCAGGGGTGTTTCCTCTACCAGGTACTGCAGTCACAGACAGCATATAGCCCTCCCCCATTCCTGATGCATGAAGGGTGTCCGTGAGGCATCAGGAATTTACACAAACTGACAGGGTATTCCAAAGGGGCAGCATGTAATGGGCTGTAACAGAGCTGTGCTGTAACAGGGAACCCGTAGCACCCTACACAAGGCACCAGGATGTCAAGGACTCCACTGTTTAGAAAATTTAGAAGGGAGGATGGAGGAGTGGAAGGGCAGGGGTTAATTTTTGATAAATGGAAATATATAAATCTCCTCAGAAACACTGCTTTTGTGGCTAATTTACCATCATGCCTTCTCTTGCTTGCAATCCACTGATCCCTTCCCTCCTGGGGTCATTAACTACAAGTAACTCCTCATTATGTTGTGGAATAAATCATTTCCAGTCTTGAGACACATCGGTCTCCTTCTCCCACTTCCACCACCATGCCTCTGTTCCAGACATGCAACCCACCTCCAGCCCCCGCAAGACATAAGTCACTCTTCTTCCATGCCCTTCCTAAAGGTCAGCCCCTAAGCAGAGCCCACAAGAAGGGGAATTAACCTTCCTTGTGGCTTCCCTATGAGCCCATTTCCACTCCTGCCTATAAGACTCTAAACTCTTCGCAGTGGGGGTGCCCTTCATTTTGTCTGAGATAAGCACTGACAACGTGCCTGGGGCGGTAACAAAACAACATAACTGTGAAAGCAGGAAGCAGCAAGATGGTGGAGATCCTGGGCAGCACAGGCAGTTCCAGAGAGATGCAGGAGTTGACTTTAAACAGGTGTTGGCTAATTTCTTCCATGGCTTCCTGGTTGTTTTTTTTTCATTTCCAGGCACCTAGATTCAGATGAGAATTGTACGGGTCTGTCTACACTACAAAGTTAATTTGGACTAACAGCCGTTAGTTCGAATTAACTTTCATAGCGTCTATACATGCAAACCGCTACTTCGAACTTCATTCAAACTAGCGGAGCACTTAATTTAGCCTGTCTGCCGACAGCAGCCAACACCAGCTACCCCGGAGGGGATGGACCGAAGATAATGACCAAGCAATTTGTCTCATGCCATCCTTCTCCAGCTTTCCACAAACAGAGGCCAGGAACACTGTTCCTACCCCCTGGCTAATAGCACTCCATGGAACCCACCTCCATGAATTTATCTAACTTCTCTTTAAACTCTGTTATAATTCTAGCCTTCACAGCCTCCTGTGGCAAGGAGTTCCACAGGTTGACTATGTGCTGTGTGAAGAAGAACTTTCTTTTATCAGTTTTAAACCTGCTGTCCATTCATTTCATTTGGTGTCCTCTAGTCCTTCTATTATGGGAACTAATGAAGAAGTTTTCTTTATTCACCCTCTCCACACCACTCATGCTTTTATAGACCTCTATCATATCCCCCCTCAGTCTCCTCTTTTCTAAGCTGAAAAGTCCCAGTCTCTTTAGCCTCTCTTCATATGGGACCTGTTCAAACCCCTGATCATTTTAGTTGCCCTTTTCTGAACCCTTTCCAAGGCCAAAATATCTTTTTTGAGGTGAGGAGACCACATCTGTACACAGTACTAAAGATATGGCGTACCATAGTTTTATACTTCCCCTCCTCCTTCTTCCCCTGGCTTCCCCCTTCCAGCTCCCTCCTCCCAGGTTTCCCCCTCCCCTCTCCCACCCTCTCTCTTCCCCTCTCCCACCTCCTTTTCCCAGTCTCCCCAGAGGTTAATCCTGCTCCCCACTTTTGTTAAATAAAAGTGTCCTTTATTTTTTACATAGGGAAGGGGGGCTAGGGAAGGGTAAGTGGAAGGAGGTGAGGGAGGAATGGGGCATGAGCCCCCGATGGGGAGAACTGGGGTGGATCTGCAGGCTCCCCGGGGTGGAAGCTCTCTTGCAGGGCCTCCTGGATCCTGACAGACCTCCGATTGACAGATGGCAGCCTGTGGCAAATGCAGCCGGGCTGATGGCTGATAGCTGTGATTTGCCGAGTGTGGGCACTCAGGGCACTCCAAGACGGGACTGATTTGATGTCCCTCATCAAGTTAGACAAGCAAGTGGGGAACCCTGAGAATTGTCTGTCCGGGTGGGGGTCGGGTCCCTTTAAGCACAGCCCTCAGCTAGCCAGAGGCAGCAGCTCCACACTCTAAGTCCTAACCTGATGCCCTGCCAGCACTGGTTCCGGCCAGCCTTAACTTCAGTTCAGGGTCCACTCAATGTGGACATGCTAGTTCGAATTAGCAAAATGCTAATTCGAATTAGTTTTTAGGTCTAGATGCGCTAATTCAAATTAGCTTAGTTCAAATTAGTGCTGTAGTGTAGACATACCCTAACAGACTAGAGTAGTAAGATACCATGAGTATGACCATTTTCCCAAGACCACGTTGGTCCTTGGATGGATGCACAGGGAGTTGGATGCAAGCTTTCCCCTTCCCACACAAGGACTTTGAGAAGCAAAGCATCTTCTTTCTCTGGATGCCTTATAGGTGCAATAAACCCCAAAGGTGGTGGAGGAGACAGAGCCATTCTCCCCTGCCTTTGCCACTTCCCCTCACTGGCTCCTGCAGCCAGTTATCTGTAGAGAAGGTAACAGGATATAGAACAGGGGTGGGCAATGATTTTTGCTCAGGGGCCACTTCAAAAATTTGTGAAGTAGCCCCAGGCCACCCCAGAAGGGGCGGGGCCTAAACAGGAAGGGGCAGGGCTACCCCACCCCCAGGTTATGATTAGTCTGGGGTGGGGGATCCGTTTTGTCCCCCCTTCCCACTGGCACCCATGCCCTGGAAGAGGCTTGGCACATTCTCCCACTCCCAGGCCAATGAGGCAGGAAGCCTCCTCCCGCCCTGCGAGGAGCACATGGCACTTGGAAGTGCCGCGGGTTTCTCACAGGGCTGGGGCAGGGCGAAGGAAGTTTCGAGCAGCTCCCCCCGCCCCCAGGCCCTGATTGGGGCTAAGGCCTGGGGGCGGGGGAGCACACAAAGTCTTCTCTGCTCTGCCCCCGCCCTGTGAGCAGCGCACAGCGCTTTGAAGTGCCTTGCGCTGATCACAGAGCGGGGGCAGAGCGGAGAAGATTCGGGCCTGCAGAGACCCTTTTGTCTACCCCTCATATAGAATCATAGAACACTAGGGCTACGTCTAGACTGCAGGGTTCTTTTGGAAGAAACTTTTCTGGAAGAGATCTTCCGAAAAATATTCTTCCGAAAGAGAGCAGAGACCCAGGAGCTGGTCACGTGATGCCTCCCTCTACACACTGTGATCCAAGGCAGCCAAGCCAGGCGGCAGTAGTGATGACTTTAAAAGTAAGATTTACTTATCCGGCAGTCCCATTCTTCCGGTGCCTGGCTCTGTGCGGACGAGAGGGAGGATTTGATTGGGGTGGGGCACTCTTGGTGCTGGGGATGCCTGGCTGTGGTGGAGAGGTGAGTGCACTGAGATGGGGGGAGCTGAGCGCGGGGCTATTTAAAGGCGCAGCACCCTTTTTTTGTGCTCAACTTTGTTCTCCCCCCTTCTATCGAAAAAACTCCCTCTTCCCTGTGTACATGCTCCTTTTTCCAAAAGAGCTCTTTAAGAAAAAGGCTTCTTCCTTTTAGAAAGAGGTTTACAAATGTTGGAAAAACCCCTCTGTTCTTTTGATTTTTTTTTTTCGATAGAACGCGATTGCAGTGTGGACGTAAGTGAAGTTTTTTCGGAAAAATGGCTGTTTTAGATATAGCTTAGAACTGGAAGGGACCTCGAGAGGTCATCATCTCCAGTCCCCTTCCCTCATGGCAGGACCAAGCACTGTCTAGACCATCTGTGACAGGTGTCTATCTAACCTGCTCTTAAATATCTCCAGAGATGGAGATTCCACAACCTCCCTAGGCAATTTATTCCAGTGTTTAAACACCCTGACAATTAGGAAGTTTTTCCTAATGTCCAACCTAATTCTCCCTTACTGCAGTTTAAGTCTATTGCTTCTTGTCCTATCCTCAGAGGCCAAGGAGAACAATTTTTCTCCCTCCTCCTTGTGACACCCTTTTAGATACCTGAAAACTGCTATCATCTCCCCTCTCAATCGTCTCCTTTCCAAACTAAACAAGCCCAATTCTTTCACTCTTCCTTCATAGTTCATGTTCTCTAGATCTTTAATTATTCTTGTTGCTCTTCTCTAGACCTTCTCCAATTTCTCCACATCTTTCTTGAAATGTGGTACCCTGAAATGGTCACAATACTCCAATTGAGGCCTAATAAGTGCAGAGTAGAGCAGAAGTATGCCATCGTAGGAGATGCTGCAGTGTATCCATGTAACAATGGCTCCCACAGATCCCACCAGCTTGGTGCAACTCCATTCCACCATCGCTGCAGGCTGGTGCCGTTATGGCTCAGCTGAGCCCTTGGTATTTATAGCCTGAATGGAAGCAAGAGTTACTAGAGAGATGCCATGTTGCCTAATTCTGCAAATGAGCAGCCAGGATAAGCTTGGATCAGTATCTGTGCTCATTTGAGTGGAATCTCAGAACCTGATGACATTCCTCCATCACTAGGCAACACACAGATCCTTATGTTCACCCAAGTGCTAGCTGGCTTCTGTGACCGCAGGCGCTCTCATCACTCACTACTGGTAGGTAAGTAAATTAGCTGGTTGGGAGTGGTGGGGGACTCAGAGGGAAATTTCACAGACATTAGTCAGGGAGGTGGTCAACAGGCTTTGCATGAGGAAATAAAAACAACTTTCTGGAACATTCTTTTCAACAAATATTTCATACAGCGATTTAGCCCCTGGATGGAGAGCACCTGTGCAGCAGCTGAATAATCCACTGGTTTAAGAGCCTCTGACTACTCATTGTCACAGTGAGGGCTGTGAGGGGTTAGAATCACGTTTCTTAAAAGTCTCTAAATCCATATTCCCAGGATAGAGCTTAACAGCTCCAGAGGAGTCATTACAAATCTACTGATTCAATCATGTGGGCTTCTCACTCACCTGCCCTTCCTCTATCAACACTTCCACTCCCCCACTACTGACACCAATTGCTTTTCCCCACTCTCCCATTACTAGCAACTTCCACGACCCTATTACTGCCGCACTTGCTTTCCCCCAAGTCTAACTCCTAGTAGTCTCCTTTCCCATTTCCTGGAGACATTGTTTCAGAAAAATTCTAATCATGTGGGCTTCTCACTCACCTGCCCTTCCTCTATCAACACTTCCACTCCCCCACTACTGACACCAATTGCTTTTCCCCACTCTCCCATTACTAGCAACTTCCACGACCCTATTACTGCCGCACTTGCTTTCCCCCAAGTCTAACTCCTAGTAGTCTCCTTTCCCATTTCCTGGAGACATTGTTTCAGAAAAATTCT